GCTCTCCTATGTCATCCTTGGAAAGGGCTATGCTTCAAGGCTCAATAGAGATGATTTCGGCAGATTGAGAAGGATTAGTGATACTACGAGTAGGGGTGAAGAGGGGTCAAATTAGAAATTATATGAAGAAGAAATGTGGTCAGTTCCATTCTGCTGGGCAATACCATCTGTTTCACGCTCATTGATTTTTTCTCTTTCATTGGAAAGATGCAGGCAATAACAGAATAGTTATAGATCTATGAGAAGAAGGTTTTTTTTAGAGTAGTTTAACCAACCTGGGCTCGCCATTGGTTCATTGCACATGTTTCGGCCGCGGTAGGCTATTTTTATTTTCTCTGAGATTGCCTCGATTACCACGATTCCGAAAGTCTCATCATCATCATATAATGGCTGCGAGCCCAGCTCAGTGGGCATACTATTCTTTCGCCTTTTACCAAAGAATACCGTGGGCTGAGCACACGTAAGCAGCTTACGTGAATTTTTCACAGGCCTTCCAGACTAGTCTATTAAAAAAAAAAAAAAAAAAAAAGTCTCATCATCTCATCAGGCTAGAACGGACTTCATGTCCACAGTTGAGCTATAGGACATTTCCATTAATGAAGGACTAATTAATAATTATTGGTTCAAACTCTAGGCTACCCGAGTGGCACGGGTCCACTTGCCCGGCCGGGCCAAAAAGAAATAAGAAAATAAAAAATAAAAAATATTTTTTAAATTTAATTTTTATTTTAAATTTGGTAAAGAATTTCGATGTGACCCTGAGGCAAAAGTTGTTCAGTTTATTTTTCTGCACAACATAGTTTTTTTTCGCATTTTTTTTTTCTTTCTTTTTCTTTTTGTTTTTGGCTGGGACCTTCCCTACCAGTCATTGCACGGCCGGGCCGCCCGGGAAAATAGGGTGACCCAGGCGGCCCGGCTGGTAGCCTTGTTCAAAATTCAAATTTAAGCTAAGCTGGGTAAAAGTATTGGCCATAGCCTCTGCTGCTACTCGATGAAGGGTGGGGGACGATGAGAAAGGGAGGCACAGCTACTGGCAGGTCTCGGTCTTTGTGTTAGCCAGACCCTCACTGGCGGCCCCAACCCTATACCCTAAGGGGCAAGGGGCAACATGACATCTCCCCTTCACAGAGAGAGGAAACTATGCTTGCAGGGGTCCCCTCTAAATAGTCTTAGGAGTAGGTAGTGGAAGGCAAAAACAAACAGAAGTTGAGAGAAGAGTATAGAAAAAACTCCCAACAACTTTCCGGGGCCGAGGTCTCACTAGCAAAGAGGATCGGATCGAATGCCTGAATCTGCGATGTGGTTTATGCAGAGATGCAGAAGAGCAGTTCAATCTCGATTTCCTGCACCTCTCTACAAACACGTCCAGATGCAGGCATTCGATCCGATCCTCTTTGCTAGTGAGACCACGCCCCGGGTAGAACTGTGAGGTCCCCGCCGGCCTCAGATTATTACTCATCAATTTGACAAGAGGTTACCGCTATTATTCAGAAGAAAAAAAAAAGGGCATGACCCCTGCGCAATGATGACCCGCATAATGCCCAGACTTAAAAATAAATCGCGAGATTGTCCCAAATAAAATTAATCGTGAAATCGTCCCCAAAAAAAAAAAAAAAAAAAAAAAAAAGTTTCTCGTCAAGTTTGTAATCATAATGTCTCACATCGTATACAAACACACAAAAAACGAAAAAACGTTTCTCCTAGTCTCAATATGCCCGAACTGAAAGAATACGTGGCAACGACAAAAAGTAACAGAATATTTGGCGACGACCAACGGGAAAAAAAAAAAAAAAAAAAAAAAAACGGCAACCACATGCGCATTTCATAGAAAGATCTGCATGGCTTCCATGTTCCTTGTCCCCCCCCCCTTCCCCCCTCTCTTTCTAAAATGGACCATTTGGCCCATTTCTCGATTTCTGTGTGTCCTCGTTGCATGCGCAGGGGCCATGCTAATTCGTAATTACCCCCTTCTTCTATGGGCCTACTCATAGTAGGACTTTGTCAACCACGCTCTGGATGGGATCGCGTTCAGATTCGTCCTGGAGTAATCCGTAATTGCAGACAGATTAAAAAAAAAAAAAAAAAAAAAAGTGCTAATGTGAGCTTAACCTCTGTATCGTTCCAATTTTAACGGATGTTTAATGTTTTGGATAATGATGTGACCGGGATCGCGGTCAGATTCATCCACGTGTAACCGGATACATTTACTGTTTTAGATGATGATGTGAGCGAGTACCGTCTTCCCTTCCCTCGAAAGGTAACGCACCTTGATAATGAACGTATACAAGCTATCTTTTGGGTCCAGTACAGCCATAATGAGGTGCGTTGTATTCGGGGGAAGACGTGCAGCGTTATGCGAGTGTGCGCAGAGATCGTCAAAGCAACGACGACGACATTCGCACCTTTTCAACGAACGATGCAAAGGAAAGCTCCCAGGCTTTTTTTCTTCGTCTTTTTTTTCTTTTCCTTTTTATGGCTTTTCATTTGCCAACGTTTTTTTTTCTTCTTTTTTTTTAACAAAAGCCTGCGACCTCTACTACCAAAGTGCGGGTGGTACTACAGTTTAATATCTGACCCGTGGTCCAAAAAAAAAAAAAAAAAAAAAGGTTGGGGTGGTACGGTTGAGCTCAGACAACTGCGCAACTCCGTCATCGGTTCTCCTTCCCAGGCCGTTTCTAAGGGCCTATTCACACGAAGGCCTTTCATGAATGAATCTCTTCCGAATTACGGCCAGATTCTGTCGCAAAAGTCCCTAGTGTGATTATACTCTCATCGTCGTGCCATCGATTTACTTCCCCCCCCCCCCCCCCCCCCCCCCCCCCCCCCCCCCCCCCCAAAAATCCCCCCCCCCTCCCCCCCCTCTCCCCCCCCCCCCCCCCCGGTGTTCCTTACCCCCCCCCCCCCCCCCCCCCCCCCCCCCCCTCCTCTCTCTCCCTCTGCACTTGATGCTGAACCGCACAAATGTGGCCAACCTTGCATCTGTCTCTTATACACATCTAGAT